GGCAATAGAGGCAGTCTGTTATCAGACGATCATCGGGAGGGCTGCCAATAGAGGCAGTCTGTTATCAGACGATTATCAGGACGACTGGCAATAGAGGCAGTCTGTTATCAGACGATCATCAGGACGGCTGGCAATAGAGGCAGTCTGTTATCAGACGATCATCAGGACGGCTGGCAATAGAGGCAGTCTGTTATCAGACGATCATCAGGACGGCTGGCAATAGAGGCAGTCTGTTATCAGACGATCATCAGGACGGCTGGTAATAGAGGCAGTCTGTTATCAGACGATTGTCAGGACGACTGGCATAGGGGCAGTCTGTTATCAAGACTATCATCGGGAGGGCTGGCAATAGAGGCAGTCTGTTATCAGACGATTGTCAGGACGACTGGCAATAGAGGCAGTCTGTTATCAGACGATCATCGGAGGGCTGGCATAGAGCAGTCTGTTATCAGACGATTGTCAGGACGACTGGCAATAGAGGCAGTCCTTGTTAGTCAGACGATCATCGGGAGGGCTGGCAATAGAGGCAGTCTGTTATCAGACGATTATCAGGACGACTGGCAATAGGGCAGTCTGTTATCAGACGATCATCGAGAGGGCTGGCAAGAGGCAGTCTCTTAATCAGACGATCATCAGGACGGCTGGCAGTAAAGGAGGCTCTTGCATCACGTGTCTTGCCGTGACTCCTTATCTACCGACGACCAACGTCGCCGGATAGGCCCCCGTGCGCTAACCGTTACATCGGGCAAGGGATACAGTCTTCTGTACATTGTTGGAAAGGCTTCCGCCTCCTAATTTTGAGAAGAAAGTTGGTCAAGTTCAGGGGAGCTTGTTTTTCAGTTGAAGGGGAGGCGTAGTTTGGTGCAGTTTTTGTCATTTTCCGTGCTCAGTCTCCCCCCCCCCCCCCACCACCACCAAATTATCTTTCGAAATTGCGTCCATGCCCCATGGTCGTCACTTTGCAAGAATATTGAGGCTCCATTAGTAACTACGACTCGTTTGGTGGGTCATTCCATGAATTATCATAGGCCTGATAGGCCTGATGTTAAGATTCGAAACTGTGATAATGAACCGATGATGGACGAATGGTGCCGTGTTGGCAGGGGTGACCTTGGCTCAGCCGTGGGTGTGCCGCTGGGTGGCTGCTGTGGGCGGTGCTCTAAATCACTAACTACCATGCCGTACAAGGGCGGATCAAGAGCACGTGCTTGGGGTGATGTGAGCGAGCATATCGCGCGTCTCGCCAAATTGCTCTGTTGGTGCTGTGCTGGGGTGTTGAGTGAGAGAGCATTGTCGCACGAATCAAAGGAACACAATCGTCCCGTTTCCTGCCTCCCACATGAGGGCTCCTCATGACCTGACCGTGCACCGCTCAGCTGACCCCGTGCCGCCGCCGTGGCGCCGGCGACCGGCGGCGCCAGTGGAGCGAGCGGGGTGACCCGGCGTCCCCAGCTGCGGACCACAGCTGGGCCGGCCGCGCCGCGTCTGTCCGCCGATCGATGGCGCGCCCCTGCCGCGCGTCACGCCGTCACAGCGGCCGTGACGGTCGGCGTGACGCGCGCGGGCGGCGCCGGGCCGGCGCAGTCGTGACGACGTCGCGGGACGCTCGAGTGACGCGACCTTCGCGGTTCCGGGCTCACACGTGGCGCGCCGAGAGCCCTCGCGGATGGACGAGGATGGGGTGCGTATGCGGCCCCTCGAGAGACTCACGTGGCGCAGCGCGGGGACACTCGAGCGGAGGAGCGGTGCTGGTGACTCGAGCGATCGGTCACCCTGTGCGGACCTCGAGTGACAAGGACCGTGTGGTGCCTGAGTGACGCGACCCGGGAGAAGAGTGTTCGCATTGACCCGGGAGCGTAACGGCGGGTGACCAAGGCCCGGCGGCGGATTGTAGAGGCGAGTGCTCAGTGTGACCTGACGTGATCTGCTTCGGGTCATGCCGAGGAGGTCACGGTATGACCCGCGCCTCGGGCGGTACCGGTTCGGCAGTTTAGACGAGTGGTTCCTGTGGTTCGCCAGGCAAGTGCTCTCTTTTTTAGCTCGCAGTAATATTACCTGCATTTCCGTATTGTTTAAATCAGTTTCAAAGCTCGTATCTTTTGAAACCACATTAAAACGCCGAGGTCGTTGCTCGCATCCCAGTCACATGGCGCTCGTAAAAACACTTCCGTCCATTACGGCCCCGTCTAGGAAATGGTTTTGGTCTGGATGGACGTTCCGATCGGGGAGTTAATTCGTCGAGACGCATCTCGCTGCTCCGGTCCGAGTTCTTCCCACCACTCCTGTGAACGTCCGCCCCTCGACGGGTGGCTTCCGTCGTCCGTTGGTCCGCCGTCCGCGCCGTGCCGTTCCGTTCCGTTCCGTTCCGTTCCGTTCCGTCGGGTGCGCTGACCGCCGGCTGTCGTGCCCGTGACCTCGGCCGCCGGCCGCTGGCCAACTGTCAGCCGTGTCGCAGGCTCGGTGTGACGCAGTGGACGGCCAGCCGCAGCCAGCGCGCCACCCGCCACCTCGTGACTGTGAGCTCGCGCGTGCGTGGAAAGACGATGCGATAAGCCTCGTTTGTGGGCAGGTTTAAAGATTGAGGTCGCTGGCTTGAACCAGCCGAAAGGGTTGCTAAGGTCAAGTCGGTCGCGAGCTATCAGCGGCTTAAGATGGGCCTCGCCCTGGTAGTGGGGGAGGGGGGGGGGAGGTGATGCGACCCCGTAAGATTTTATGAGCAAACCTCTCCGGTATGCAGTGTGATTCTGTCCAATTTCTCAATGCCCCGTGGGATATTCATTACGCATGTTTGGAGACTATGTCCCTAGTATTTGTGGTTACGGAGCAGTGGCGGTTTTTGGGGAACACTGCTCGGCGATCAATGACCTGCGCGGGGGACAAGCGATGATGCTGCGAAAGCGCGTGGCAGGCAGACATCGTTACATTTATGAAGTTATGCACGATGGCTATACACGATGGTACTGAGAATTGAACAGAAAACATGCCTGTTTAGGTTTTGTGTCGCTATTACGGGTGATCATGCTCAGATGAGCGAGTAGATTTGAAAAAATGCGATTTTGGGAAAATTTGACCTTTCACTTGGCACAATAGGGTCAGTTTTTTATCTAGCAACATAACACTGCGTAGCAATTGCGAGATCTCGTTGGACCAATTCACTGGTGCATTGCTACCCTGAAGGACTCCTGTAAGGCTGCGGACTATCGACAAGTCGGCGAGGCAATACAGGACAACAAAAAAGACAATAAAAGGCACATGGTTTTCCTTTCGATTCATTGACATTTATTATGCGGTATGGTTTGTGTGTGACACAGGAAAGTTAAAGTGCACCCCGCCCTCAATAGCAGCTGAATGCAGTTTGTAGCGGTTCTTACAGGAATGACCCACCTAACTACTCAATGAAGTCACGCCAACCTTTAAAAGTTTAGGTTGTTATTGTTGAGTTTTTCAGTGAGATGTTGCGTAAAGTTGTTTAATTTGTGCAATATGGTTTAGTGGCTTGGCATGTCTGCGATGGGCTTTTCGCTAGAGCTCTGGCTAGAATAATGAAAATATAAAAGTGCATGTTTTGCTTGTCGATTTTTTTTACTCGCAAAAGCCCGCCAAGTCTGACCCACAACTCGGCCAAAAGCCGGCGGGTTCTGGTGGGTCAGATGCCGGCGGGTTGGAAAGTTTCGTCTCTAGACTCTACTTTATCCAGGCGTTTGAGAGTGGCTTACTTCTCATGTTCAACTGCTAAATCTTACTTGAGTTAGTTAACGTGTGGTGCGCCATAACCAGCGTAAGTCCCATTAAGCGTCCTCCAGCGGTGCTGGTCTCTGACACCATTCGCAGGTCCCCACCACCTGGTCGTGTGTCACGGGGAAGGCTCGTTTCGCATTGCCCCCCGATCTTTTGCGGGGCACAGCCCACAGGCAGCGGATGACATACAAACACTGTTACTTCGTGTGTACAGACTTCGCCTGTAAGTGAAGGACAATCTGTTGGCGATGGTCTTGGAGGAGTTGTCCCACATTTGGGGCGTATTCCAAAGTGTACTCTGGAAAACATCATGATCAATTCCATATAATGACGGCGGTGGTTAGTATCACTGCAACACATTACGATGTAATGAACAGATTGCTTTGCATTATTTTTTAGTCTAACTTACGCCGTCTCTGCTAGGGACCGTCGTCAACTGTTGGACTTGAAGCACCTTCTAAAAGTGGGGCCTTCACTGGCATGAATGACATTATAAATGAATGTTTGTGATTGGCACATGGGGCGGAGAAGCCCATTTACCGAGTAGCGCTTGGGTTGGAATTTGAACCAGTGCGTCATAGAACATGTGATAAGTCTATTTCCCAAAGCTAAAGTGAGCTTCGAAAAGAGTCAGTGTTGCACGCCATTGGGATAAATCAAAGCCATAGCATGACTTTTCGTTGACTTCGCGTGATCATAACCGCACGTAAATAATTCGCGTGGTCTGTATATATGACCCCCTAACAGAGTGTTCCAAGCCACCGTAGTACTTACTGCAGAAGCACTTTGACCAATTAGCGTTTTGCAAACATTGCAGAACATACGCATTAGAAAAGCAAGGCAACTGAAAAGTATGACTTTCTTAGTGATGAACAGATGAGTCCAATTATGTGTCCAATCAAATTTCTCTTTCCAGGGCAGCTACTCCAAATGGAAATTCCTTCAGAAGGATTTCGGTAGAACTGATATTACCGATCAAATCGGACACGTCTTATCTAACAATACGTGAAAAGTACAAAAGTGGCATGTTTCCTTTTAAAAATACAAGTTTAAAGAACAAGAAAGCTAACAAGAGCTATGTGCTGTTAATTTTTAACATGCGGGAATGGGAGTTTCGACCAAGGGAGCATTGAGTGCGGGCAGTGCAGTGTCATGTGTGTATAACCCCGCTTAAACAGTAATCAAATGCTGCCACCCCATCACCAGCAGTTAGTGACGAGCCTCACTGTTGCCCTGACTGTTGGCCGCTGCCGTGTCCACAGTAAGATCGAGGCCGAGGTGCACGAGGAAACAGTGCGCCAGCGCAGCCAGGAGCAGCGGCACAAGAACGCGCGGCGCGCCTGCCTCCGCTGCGGCCAGACCTTCCGCATCCTCTTCAACAAGCGGCTGGAGTGCCAGCTGTGCGGCGCCAGCGTCTGCCGCCGCTGCGCCAGATACGAGCACGGCCGGCGTGGCTGGCTGTGCCTCGTCTGCGAGCGCGAGAGGTGAGCACGCTGCCGGCGCTGAGAGGCTGTAGGTGGAGGCGAGTTCTGAAGTGACGGGTTTTCAGCTTCCCGGATCGGCAAGACGATGCTAGTCAAAGCAGGGCTATTTCATCGTCCCAATAGCAAGTTTTCTCATTGCACCATGGCGCGGGCTAATAGTATTCAGGCGATTAGCGAATGTTGAGGAGATACAATTGCTTTTTCCGTTGTTAGCGTCCTTTTTCCTGCTTCGTTGTGTTATTCCACCAGCAAAGAGAATAGTTCCGTCGTAAAAAGTCTGACACAGTTTCCCTGACAACGACAGCCAGTACGCTTGTTGACAACTGCATCCCGGCCTGATAAATACGTGACCTCGTTTTCCTCGGAGCCCACGCCAGTCGGACAAGGACGTCACAGCCCGCCGATGGCGTCAGCATGAATGCAGCCCGCGTATGGGGGAGGGGGAGGGGAGGGGCAGGCTCTGTCACCTTCATTGTCCGAGAAGCGCACCTGTGACCGCGTGCCTGCGGCGCGCACCGGTCTTCCGTGTCAAGTGGTCGTCACCAGCGCAGATAAGCCCAAGTCGTGTTTTAATAAGAAAAGTTGCCTTGTGCACGTATAGATGGAAATGTGATTGATGTTTCGTACAACAGCGAAACGTGTGGATGGCATTGCTGGAACAGACTGCTCCCCTCTCCCGCATCCATGGTTGCACATCGAAGTGAAATGGTATGGTGATAGACAGCGACCGGCATCATCATTAGTTGACGTCAAACAGGATATATTGTATTCAACCAAGCTCAATTTAAAACAAACCCAATCAATCAGTTACATTTTGCACCGCAGTGGCGTTCAACAAGTCGCTCTCTAACAAAGTTCGTAGTACCAGCTGGTCTGTGCGGCTGAGCGGTCGCACGTGCACGCCTGCAGCCGCTTGTGTCCGGTTAGCTCACAGTATGTGTCCGGTTAGCTCACAGCATGCGCGCTGTCGGGGCGTCCACGTACGCCAGGCTGCGCGTGCCAGTGTGCGTCCGCGTCTGCCTGTGTGTCGGCGTGTCCGCGTGCGGGGGTGTGTGCGGGGCCGGCGGCCGGCCGGCGCGCTGCGGCCGCCGTGCGTCGCGCGGCCCCGCCCACCCGCTTCCGGTGTGTGGTCGGCCGGCGGCCGGCGCCGGCTGATGCTGCGCCAGCGCGCTGTTCCGCACCGGCCAGCCGCCGCGCCGCCCGGCCGTGTCCGCGCCGTCCGCCGCGCCGCCCGGCCGTGTCCGCGCCGGCCGCCGCGCTGTCCGCTGTCCGTGCGCGGTGCCGCGCCGGCGGGCTGACCCGATGTGACCCGCCGGCCAGCTCATGGAGGAGCTCCGCTACACCTGCGACGCGTGAGTGCAGCGGAAGGGGTAGCAGCGGTGTGACGTGAGGGTAGGGCGTGCGGGCGCGAGTTGCGCGAGCGACCTGTGCTTTGGAGGTCAGATGTGAGCGATCAGCACCGCGCGGGTGCCACAGCGGCGAGTGTGGGAGACGACGAGCTCGTGACTCGTGAGTGGGACGAGTTCACTAGCCTCCACGCAGCGACAGACGTGAGAGGCTGCGACACTAATGGCCGCAGTAGTTACATGCGTCGATAAGCAATCTAACGATGCGGCGGGGAAGGCGGGCCTCACATCGCTGGTCGCTCAGGCTCGGACAGATCACCGACCTGCATTTGGTCTGCCGCGTTAAATAGACACATCACGTCACCTTAGAGGTCAGATTCATGCACTGTTGGCACGAAAATGCTGTCGAAATTAGCCTGCATGCGTATTGATCGTTCATCAGTGCGATATGAAATGTAGGCCGTGGGAAACACGGATATTCGCTGACGTCTAGTGAGGATAGCAGTCTCATCGACATCCCATCTACAGGAGAGTAGACGGGATAACAAGTGATCTGTGAGTACCACTTCTGTGAAAGCCCTCTTTCAGCCCTGCCGTATCTCGAGGAGCGGAGTTCATCAAACCCAAACGACAGTCACGAATGCGCACCGTAGAAGCATGTTACCAACGACCGTAGCCGACGTTTACGAGCGTACGACTTGCGCCATGGTGTCCGCACTGACTCGCGAGCCCATTTTCGCCTCCGCGGTCCAGCTGTGGGCGAGCCGGGCAGGCATCCTCATTGTTATTAGGTTATCCTCAGGAGGATAACCGGGCGACTCCATGAGGATAACCGGAGAAACACAGTATTTTAGGTTATCCTCTTAAGGATAGCTGGGGGATTCGCCATGCGCTCCTGCTTGCTGGGTGTCACGGTGGCAGGCCATTATGGCAAGAGTACCTTCGTGGGGGGAATAATCGTCTGGGCTTGCTGCCCAATTGGCGTGTGTCCTATGTATGTGCCGGGTTATGACGTCATACGCTCTGGAAGAGGCGTCCGGTCTCCGGCGGACAAGCGTGCGCTAACAGGCCGCGTGCGGAGCAGCGGGCCGGGCTGTCCCTGGCGAGGAGTTCCATCATCCTGCAGAGATTAGTGGGAGACCTGGCAACGCTAAACATCTGAGATGTCCGTGTGCGTCATTCAGCGAACAACTTGGTGTGCATTCGCTGTCGTTTTTAAGGTGTTCGTTTCAGCTCTCACTGGAGTTCACGATGCTGTGTATTGCAATCAATATCTGGATTCGCAAAACGCACGAATTATTGTAGATCGACGATCCAGCATCGGACTATTACCCCGATGTGGCCCTGTTAACTACGCCAGCGCGGTACTACAGGCTATCCACGGCGTGCACAAAGCTTCTTTTGGAGTCACTTGCTTTCCCGCCGAGCGCCCAAAGTTCGCGCAAAATCTCCATGTAGCGCATGGCACGCATACCAAAAATCACAAGACACGTGGCCTCGTGATCTCGCGTAAAGTCGACCTTAGTTGAATGGGAATCTGCCGTGATAAGCATACGGACAAGTGTGTGTGTATCTCAAGGTGCGGGGGGGGGGGTCATTCACCGCCCGACATATACGAGCAGAAGGCGGCGCCGGTGTCGAGCCGGTGCCGCCGGCTCGGCGAGGGGCGCTGGTATGCGAGACCCACCAGGCCCGACGCACTGCCGCGGTGCTGTGCGTCTCCAGTGTGTGCGTTGAGGGTGGGTGACCACTCCCGTGTGGGTTGTTGGGGCGTGCCCTGAAGGTGCAGACGTGCCTTGCCCGTGCAAGTGCTGTTCGTGACGTACACTCATTTCGGCCTCCACTTGAACTATATGGTCAGATGGGACTAAGGAGTATTTGTTGCATGCTCTGAGTGTTGAGTTCATGCCTGCTCACATGCCGTTATCATTAGCTTCAACGGGAACTTTGGTTCCGCGCTGCCTTTGGACACCACGGTACCTCGCCTTGCCCGTTCGTCAGCGGGGATTCATTTCAGTCCATGGTTGTTAGCACTACGCTGGGCCTGCACTGGGCCCTGAAGGAGCTTTGTGATCGATTCGGCCTTGTGATCCATCTGCCTCAGTGATCTGAGTCGGTGCTGGTCACTTGCTATGTCTTATGCTCAGTGTGGACGGGTAACAGACTTTGGCTCGGCCTTGTGATCACTCTGAGCCGATAATGGACTGTGGCTCGGCCTTGTGATCACTCTGAGCCGATAATGGACTGTGGCTCGGCCTTGTGATCACTCTGAGCCGATAATGGACTGTGGCTCGGCCTTGTGATCACTCTGAGCCGACAATGGACTCTGGCTCGGCCTTGTGATCAGTGTCAGCCAGCATTAGACTAGCTCGGACGTGTGATCGGTCCGAGTCGGACCTCGTGATCAGTCTGGGTCGGCTCTAGGCTCTGGATCGGCATTGCAATCAGTCTGGGCCGACACTTGACTCTGGCTCGACCTTGTGATCGGTCTGGGCCGACACTAGACCTTGTGATCAGTCTGGGTAGGCTCTAGACTCTGGATCGGCATTGCAATCAGTCTGGGCCGGCACTAGACCCTGGCTCGGCCTTGTGATCGGTCTGACCCTTGTACTGGACTTTGACTCGGCCTCGTGATCAGTCTGAGCCGGCCCTGGACCCTGGCTGGACCTTGTGATCAATCTGAGCCGGCCCTAGACCCTGGCTCGGCCTCGTGATCAGCCTGAGCCGGCTCTAGACCCTGGCTCGGCCTTGCGATCAGGCTGAGCCGGCTCTAGACCCTGGCTCGGCCTTGTGATCAGTCTGAGCCGGCCCTAGACCCTGGCTCGGCCTTGTGACGGCTGCTTTCAGACGGCAACCGTTCCGCGACCGCGCCGCGCGGTTGTGGTGGCTCTTGGGCCCGCCGGTGGTCGTCCGCAGTCGTGAAGCGTGGGATTCTCGGTGATTTGTGGGCCCGTGATCTGGTGTGAGCGTGATGCACTCACCTTACATGAAATCAAGTTTATGAAGTCATTAATGGCCAAAGCTGTTGCGGCACCGGCTCCTGGGTTTCAGCTCTCAAAAGTAGAGCTGTTACGTACAATTACTGCACATATGGTCGTCACTCTGTGATGGAAGGCGTGATGGGCTTTATGCAATTGCGTCCCATTGTGCACCGATAACCGGCTCTTTTGAATTGCATCGCCATTTTGTCCTGCAAGCTTTCGTTACCGCCCGTTGATATCCGGTGGTCTTTCAACAGGGAGTTGCAGGCCAACAAGTGGCTGTCTGAGATTCAGTTGAAGCATCGAGTCAGCATACGGACCTCGACCGGCTCCCGATTCTGTGAGTACCGTCCGCCATAGCCGCGTAAATGACCCGTTACAGCAGTCGGTTGACAGGGCGAGTAAAGTCGCCGCCTCCCGGTCCGCTGTCTCATTTGGGGCCGGCGGAATGTGCGGGACTGATAATTAAAGTCGGGGCGTTTGAGGTCAAGACGTCAGCGCCGTTATCAGCACGTGTTCTCTGCACCGTTGAAGTTGGCGAGCACCTGAGTACCACGTTTCCGGCCGGGCTTACCCCTGACTAACAGCGACCCGCGAGTGCCGCGGGGGCGGCGTCGCGGGTCAGGCTTCGCACCTCATGCCCTGCTGATTGGGGTGGGCGGAAACGGGGCATGCAGATCGCCTTGAGCCTGCAACCCAGGGCACGTGTACAAAGCGGATGGCGGGCCTGAGGCGAAGATGGGTGTATAGAGAACATTTGTGCCACAAATGCACCTGGTCAGTCTGTTCTTATGTGATGTTGTGATAGATTCGGATCGCAAGCTTTGCTTGTCTAGTTCCTCTTTGGGGCTGTATGAGTTGCAAGCTTCGTGCAGTCGAGCAACAGGTTCAAAGCAATAGCTATGGTTCCATTTACCTACACGGAGTCCTTCTTCGCTTGAACTTGCTGTGTTAGAAAACAGCCTTACACCAGCCCCTCACCAATGTTCGCTTTTGTTGTTGTGTGTTACGACTCCCAGAGTTATAGTAGGTAGAAGTGCTATTAAATAAAGACTAGGTGTACTGAATTAGCACAGTTGTCAAACTTACGTGCTCTTATGATATTTGCCATAGGCGTGATTAGTATCTTTATTTCTTATCACATTAGTTGAGGGCTTCTAGCGTTTATCATTTCTCAGAGAATAGCTTGGATAACATTGAGTTTGCACGACATATCAAGCGATGTCGCCAATTCTATTCGACTCTCACATCAACGATAAGAATTGCATCACTGGTCTGAGCGGTCACCCCGCATCAAAGATGACCGAAAAACCGCGCCAATCAGACCACTATCCTTCGCGCGGAAAAAGGCGCGCTATCAGAGCTCGTCCCGAGCGGGGCGCGATAGAGGTCGTGCGCGCGGGCCGGGCCGGCGGCTTATCACGCGCGGAGGCGGCCGCCCCTGTGCCGCGCCAGGTCAGCGGCAGTAGGCCGGTCAGCGCGCGGCGCCGGCACACCGGGCGTCGGAGGCGCGGCGTGCCGCCACCGTCGTGTGACGGCCGTCACCCCGACCGCGCGCGGTGTTCACCTAAAGCGTGCGGTGTTCACCAGAAGGCGCGCCGTGGCGTGGCTGGCACGGGCTGTGGCGTCGGTGCACCGTGCCAGGGCCTGTGTACTTACCAGCGACTCTGCGCGCGGTCTGCCGTGCGGGTCAGTGCGGCGTCGGCGCGGTCGATGCCGGCGCCGCGGCGGGTTTCACTTCGGACCGTGCGGGCCGATCAGCGCCGGGGACGGCCGGCCCGGAGAGGCAGTCGGCTCGCGGGCGATCGGCGCGGCGCAGTGTCGCCCGGGGGTGCATCGGCGACTGTCGTCTGGTGACCGGCCAGTGGGACGCCAGCTGGGACAGCGCTGACTGCTGGCGAGTTGGCCAGCCCAGCGCCTGGCGACTCGGTCCAGCGCACCAGCGACCGCCGCGAGGTGGTGTTGCCTTGATGTCCGGCCGGCAGTTGGCCGCTGGCGCTGGTGATCGGTGCTGACCTGCGAGGCGACACTGAGCCTGGGGCGTCGGTGTCGCCTGCCCCTGGAAACGTCATCGAAGATCTGTGCAGACTCGTATCGTATCACGTGCTCGGACATCAGCTCCTTCAGCGATTGTCGCGGGCTGGTGCCAACTTCCACTGCACGGACGCTGGTGCCTGGTGCACTGACGCTGGTGCCTGGCGCTGTGACGCGTCGTCTGGAGGTGACCCATCCCGCCATTGGTGCCGTCCGCCCCATGATGGCGCTTCTGTTGGTGCCGCTGTTCTGGGCCGGCGTGGCCATCTGCGTGTTCATCTCCCTGCTGCTGGCGCGGTTCGACCTACACGTCCTGACGTCTTCTCCCGGTAAACGAGCTCATCTGATGGCGAGGATCGCGCCCATAGATGAAACGGTCGCGTATGATCTCGAGCAGCCTCCACTCTGGCTGTCAGCTTTCCGTCTGTTGTGTGTCCGTGTCCGTCCGTCTGTTCCGTGTATTACCCTCTGTGTTTTATGCTGCCAGCCTATTTGTCTCTGCTGGGACCCTTGGCCCTTTTCACCTTTGCCTTTTACCTTTTTGGTCAGCCAGCATCACTTAATCGCCATCATGAGTAATGTTTTTTGTCATCATTTCTTGTGAAATTCCCTGCACGCTCCTCTCCACCATGCAGACATGGATGCATCATGCGCTGACGTGGCGGTTTTGAGCGCCTGCGCGTGGCTGCGTGTGATGATAGGTACGCACGTCGTCTGGCTCCCTCGCCCGTCCGCGAGCATGAAACGCGGGCTTCCTGCTCACACTCCACTCTACCGTATGTGTGTGTCAGCGGTGCTCGCCCCTCCTCCCGCATACGACTCTGTCCCCCATCCATTGACATTCTCTGATTCTCGTTTGCGCTCCAGCCCTGCTTTGTGCCTCTGTGTCTCTCCTCCCGCGTGTGTGTCTCCCCTATGCGTGTCTCTCCTCATGTATGCGTTTGTGTCTCCCATCCATGGCCCGTCTGAAGCTGTTACGCACACTCCCGGCATCCCATGTGCGTCTACGTTGACGTATAGGCAGTTTTCAATGCACACATCGTCATTTACATCGTTCACCTGTGAACTTAGTACAAACCAGTAGTTTGGACTTGGCCTTAATGGGTGCACAAAGGCCACTCGTAAACCCGCTAAAAGACGCACATGGACTGGCAACCTCATGTTGCCCGTCATATTGCTTCTGTGTCCCCTGTGCGTGTCTCTCCCGCCGTGTGCGCCTGTGTTTCCTGTGTACATATCTCCCGCCGTGTGTGTCTGTCTCCTGTGTGCGTCTCTCCCGGCGCGTGCGTCTGTCTCCTGTGCGTGTCTCTCCCGGCGCGTGCGTCTGTCTCCTGTGCGTGTCTCTCCCGCCGTGTGTGTCTGTCCCCTGTGCGCGTCTCTCCCGGCGCGTGCGTCTGTCTCCTGTGCGTGTCTCTCCCGGCGCGTGCGTCTGTCTCCTGTGCGTGTCTCTCCCGCCGTGTGTGTCTGTCCCCTGTGCGCGTCTCTCCCGGCGCGTGCGTCTGTCTCCCGTGCGCGTCTCTCCCGCCGTGTGCGCCTGTGTCTCTCCTCCGGTGTCCGTCTTCTCCGCCCATGTGTGACTCGGCGCGGCCCGGCGTCATCTGTCCGACAAATGACCGGGCCGCTGTCACCTCGGACCGCGCCCGGATGACAACATCGCCGACTGCGGCGACACGTTCCGTCACCGCCGCCCGGACCGGCCAGCCCCGTCCCGCCGCCTCAGGCTGTGTCGAGGGGCGGGGCGTGACACGGCGGTCCGCTCTCCCGCCCGGCGACTGGGTGTGGCCTCAGGCTGTGTCGGGGGGCGAGGGGCGTGACACGACGGTCCGCTCTCCCGCCCGGCGGCTGGATGTAGCCTCAGGCTGTGTCGGGGGGGGGGGGCGGGGGGCGGGCGAGGGGCGTGACACGGTGCTCCGCTCTCCCGCCCGGCGACTGGGTGTGGCCTCAGGCTGTGTCGGGGGGCGAGGGGTGTGACACGACGGTCCGCTCTCCCGCCCGGCGGCTGGGTGTAGCCTCAGGCTGTGTCGGGGGGCGGGGTGTGTGACACGACGGTCCGCTCTCCCGCCCGGCGGCTGGGTGTGGCCTCAGGCTGTGTCGGGGGGGGGGGGGCGGGGGGCGGGCGAGGGGCGTGACACGGTGCTCCGCTCTCCCGCCCGGCGGCTGGGTGTGGCCTCAGGCTATGTCGCCCGCCCGGCGGCTGGATGTGGCCGAAGTTCGCGAGGCGACTTTCACGCCCCGCCGCCTGCTGGGACCGCCGTTCTCTGAGGCATGTGTCGTGCGGAGAATTGGGGAGGCGAGCGCCGCCGGGGCATTGTCTTCGCGTCTGCGTCGTTTGTGTGTCACTTCGTTCTATACCCGCAGGTGGCAACTGTGTTTCCGAGTAGAACACGATTACACCGTGTAGAGGTTGGTTTGCGCACCAGGTAATCCGTTCGCGGGTATAACGCAGGCACACGTTGAGGTGGTTACTGTGTGCACTAGATAAACATGCACGGCTGATAACTGGTATGGGCGAAATACCTGTCAACGCTGATGAAACTCGATCATCAAAGAAGAATGCAACGAGCCTGTAGCATCCCCTTATGTTTTTAGGCGAGAGGGTGCAACGCTCATCAAGTGTCCTTTGTATATAAATGAGCGAATTTATATCGAGGATTTCTTACTCATTTTTATGCACTAAAGAGACTAGATTCTAACTTCACGTGACTTACGTGACTGCGACTGCAACTTGCGGGACTGTGACTGTGACCTACATGACTGTGACACGTGGCTGTGCCTGTGACTTACGTGACTGTGGCTGTAAATTACGTGACTGTGGCTGTGACTTATGTGACTGACTGTGACTAACGTTCACGGACCAGCAGCATCTTTGGCGTGAAAGCTCCCTACTTCAGTTGTCCGCCCGCAACTTTGTCTATGCCCTCGTCAGCCTGGGCCCTGGGCAGCTTTGTATGGCTCGTCAGGCGCACTTACCGGAACCTTTTTGTAGCGGCACGTGCCGTAGCGTCTTTGTTTATCCATCGTCAGCTATGCCCATTCACGTTCCATTTCGCAGCGGTTTCATCTCCGCATATCGGTGTGAAACATGCGATCGTGGACTGCATCATAGTTTTGTAAAATAATGTTTTAGCTGTGACAATTTTAGACACATAATTTGAAGGAGTGAAAACATTCGAGATGTGAAGTGGTCGACCATGCCTTTCAAGCTGCACGGAATCACATGAGTAGGCACGAACAATAGTGTCGTTAATTTTGATGAAGAAATCCATGAGAAAAAACTATTGGCTCTTCCCTCCGCGCGAACTTTTTTCCGTCCCAAGAACAGCTGTGGCTCGGACGTCAATAGATATGTTTCTACGCTCACTGTGGGGGGGGGGGGGGGGGAGGCTCAGCAGTCGCGCGTTGTAGAAATTCAGATCTGTTGTTACGCTTTGAGAAGCCTCCTGTGCTGCTGCTGGCCAGCCGTATCGACTCATCTACAAGTCGGGACCGGCTGCTGCTATAGGGCTTCGGATGACGGGATTTGACACCGTGTCTTACCGACAGCTCAGGCTCCTGATTTCGCGTCTTACCGACAGCTCAGGCTCCTGATGTCGCGTCTCACCGACAGCTCAGGCTCCTGATGTCGCGTCGTACCGACAGCTCAGGCTCCTGATGGCGCGTCGTACCGACAGCTCAGGCTCCCGATGACGCGTCGTACCGACAGCTCAGGCTCCTGATGTCGCGTCGTACCGATAGCTCAGGCTCCTGATGTAGCGTCGTACCGACAGTTCAGGCTCCTGATGACGCGTCGTACCGACAGCTCAGGCTCCTGATGTCGCGTCGTACCGACTTGAATGAAACCATTCACCCTCATTTACGTGGTTCGTGTTTTGAGGCATGCGTTTGAGTAGCTGATGGTTAACCATTTTTATGTGAAAAAATGGTGGAGGAGGAAAAGGAAAAATGGTGTTAGCCGTAGTAATACCAGATTGAATGTGGAAGGAATTCTGAATAATTAAAGAAAGCGTAGAAACACAATTTTGAAGTGAACGCCTAAGGTCAGAAACGAAACAACTTAATGCGTTGCGGCTTTCCCCACGGTCGTGTCCGCGACCCGTGCGACCCCCGTAACTTCGCCACTGAATGCTACCTTGCGGGAGCAAACCCCGGGTCCGCGTACATCCTCCTAGCCAGTGCCGTGCGTTACCTTGTGTACCCGTTAGCAGCAGGGCACATGTGCTGTATGCCGCCACCCCTTGCCCCGGCTTCGCTGGTGGCCTTGGCCGCTTTACATGCACATTGTAGGATTGTTGTGTGTGTACGTGCGTACGTGCTATGGATGCACCGCGCGATTGTGCCGCCTGCTCGCGCTTGCGGCCTTCGCGCGCGCGGCCACGCCAGCATCCGCAGTTGCTTTTTGGGGGGGGGGGGGGGGGGGGCGTTAGGCCTGTGGCTGCACACGATGTCATAAACGTCCCCGGTTCCGACTAGATCAGCCATGATCGAACGCGGCCAACACCGCAGTTTGGATGTCTCACACTCACCTGATTGCATGTCAGCAGTCTTGTTGGTTTGATTCCGTTCTACCCTGTGATATCATTGCTATGATGTGTGACGCCATACTGCGCTTTGCTTGATTGCCCGCGCCGTTGTCATATTTCGTCATTGGAGTGTCGACGCCACATTCTGCGGGAAGCCAAGCATGGAAGGTCGGGGGAACGGTGGCGGTTTTTGCGTGTGCTGCCATTGGGTGTCAGCCGCCACTTGAGTCGTGCGGTCAGGAAGCCTTTAGCTTAACCTTCGCCGTGCGGGAGCTCTTCTTACTGGCAACATGGGCCAGAAGGTAGTAAGCGCCTCTCGCTAGTCGACTCAAAATTGAGCTAGGCCAGGACTTAAGAATCCGTGCCAAGGCTGGTGCCAATCCGTGCCAGTCCGTGCCAATCCGTGCCAAGGTCTAAGAAGTCAAACTTCATCAGATTTCACCTCCTGAAGTCGAACGATGGGCCGCCAGGTTAGGTAAACAATACTTAGGAACCAAAAGTTAAGAAATGAACATTTTCCTGAGCAAAGATAGCACTTTTTTGACTACGCAAGCACATAATCGTGTTCAGAATCAGATTCAGTGTATAAAGTGGTCTGCTTTAACCTGAGTGGTAATCTTACTTCCAACGGGATTTATATAGGTCATCGACCTGATTTCACTATGAAAAGACTATTTACCTATCAGAAGTGCCTATGTGTTTGTAGAGTATAGTTCTATGCTAGTTGCCTGACCAAAGGCACATGTTATGTATGACCAATGAACAGGCGGAAATGTCAGACGTTTGCCGTAACAACAACCCTAGAAACATTCAGAGATGACGCCATAGACAGCTGACTTGGCATGCCATGGTGCTAACTTTGCAAAGTTTGCACAAGAAATGTAAGGCTAGATTTATCGGCGCCGCCATTTCTCGTTTTCCAGCGCAAGAGAGTTACGGGCTAAGATGAGCAAAGCGTTGTCAATGAGGTCGTCCATTATACACATCTGTTGTGTTCATGTTTCAAGTAGACGTATTCGTATCGTGGCGTATAACCGATGTCCTCCTCGTAACTGAAAAGACGGCACAGAATCAGCTGCTTATGTTTCATTATTATCTCGTGTCATTGCTGTTGGCAGCAGGGAATGACAGCGAGGGGCTCCTGGAAATGACGCGAATGAAATCACCCACGCCATCGCAAACGCATGCATTCCCAAACGTATTCAAAAAGGCGTATAGGGACATTCGCACTCCATACTCATTCCCTCACCAGATTGCGAGACGCCTGGTTGAGAGATACCTGGTTGAGTTTGAGATCCTGATTCAATAATCGTGTGTCCCACAACGCTTGGGAGACAGGCCGCAATCTGGGCGACGCGGTTCAGCCGTTATGCCCATCCGTCCGGTATCAAGTTCTGAAGTTTCCCTCATGATTTGTTATGAACTGTGTGCGGAGTGGGAACACCAAGCTGTTGACTAGTGTGAACTTCTGGGTCAAACGCACTGTTTTACCCGACACTTTGTTCGCGGAACCCCGGCGTTGCCTGTGGTTGGCAACGGACACCCAAGGTCATCCTGACCAATGACCTGCCTGCCCGCAGCGGATAGCGAGGACGACTCCGGGTACGACCCGTCGGTGAGCCACGACGACGTACCCCGTCCCAAGCCTCCAGGTGGGTGCCAAGCCTCCAGGTGGGCGTCAGATGGGGTGCGCGCTGAACTCGGGCTCAGACGGCGGCCCGTGCGACGCGCCGGTTCTTCACCTGTTCCGTACTGCGACACTACCACTTCACTACCGCATGCACTTCCAATCTGATCGTGTGCTCCACTCGTTTGGCACGAGCCGTGGAAGCGCATCGTCAGGAGGGGGGCGGGGGGGGGGGGGGGCGAAGCGCCCGACATTGGTCTTGCGATGACTTTTCCACCAAGGTGTCATGTGCGATGATGTAATACCATTTTGAGGTGTTCCGAAGTGCATGGACGACCTGATCAGAGCGCGGTTTTGGCAGCCACTGTATTGCCAAGTAACAGCGACTGGTAAGTGTTGGCATGCTGAGTTACAACGGTCAGACATGACTCTGCTAAGGGCAACGGAACAGGCCATGGCCAGCTGATGCCCGCTGTCGTTAGGTGTGGCTGTTCCGCGCCCTGGCGGCTTGCCAAGTGACCTCAGAACATCCCACCCCAGGCGGTCCGGCCCTCCGTGACCCCGACCACGTGACGGCAGAGGTCAGGGGTCACCTGGAGAACGTGGTCGAGACGCTGCTGGGGGAGTCCATCCAGACCGCCAGCATCAAACCGTCGCTGGCAGGTGAGGGGGTCGGGTGAGAGGCTGGGCTGGGAGAGGGGGCCTGGTGAGAGGCTGGGCTGGGAGAGAGGGGCCCGGTGAGAGGCTGGGCTCGGAGAGGGAGCCTGGTGAGAGGCTGGGCTGGGAGAGGGAGGCCTGGTGAGAGGCTGGGCTGGGAGAGAGTGGCCCGGTCAGAGGCTGGGCTCGGAGAGGGGGAGGGGCCTGGTGAGAGGCCGGCGGCACCGGCGAGCCGCGGAGGGCCAAACTCTGGGGTGGTCATCACGGCGTCGGGGTTAAAGGGTTATCTAAAACTAGTCCATCTGGTGGTAAGGCATTGGGACGGTCGGTTCAGTGTACTGAATGGTATCGATCTCGGCTTTTATGTCGCTAGCAGGACTCGTTGACGTTCAAGCCAAGCTAAAGGTGTAGAAGTGTGATCGGTCTTCTGGGTCTTTAATGTCACTTTTGTACAATGGTGGCTTCTTAATCGGTTAATATATAAATTAAATGCTATATTTTCGAGAAATGTCTTATGATGCCCTTTGGAGGGCTCAGGGACGTAGTTTTTTGGAATGAGTTTAAGTTTGCGCGTGCATGTGGGGGGGGGGGGGGGGGGGCGAACAGTGAGTAACGGCGTTTGTCAAGTCAGCTTTGTATTCGTATCCACATTCAAATTTGCATTCAGGCACAAACCCTTACAGCTGTGCTTAATCACAAGGCACTGGTGGTTTTCAAGGTGTTAGATTATGGTCACCTCGCTTCCCACGACACTGACAGGTGACTTTCAGAGGTCATCGAAACACAAGCAAGGTTACGTAGCACGAACACCAACGATTTGGCTCAAATTCAAACCAACAGAAGCGTCGAACACTGACTACGATGGTGCAACTCGTTTCCCGCCACATTCAACACCGTGGCTATCAGAGGTCTGTGTAGGTCAAGGTCATATTTCTTATATTGAAATATAATCTTGGTTGTATTTCAAGATCATTGAAACTGGACCCATTCACAGCTGTTCTGGCACTTATCTGATTGATGAGTTTCACATGCTGATTACGGCGGTTGGTCTCGTTTCGAGGCACAGTGAAAATTATGACCCACGGAGATCTCCAAAGTATAAGGTTATTAAGCTCAGGCCGCTATAATTTTGTCCACATATACAGCTTTAATAGTCGTTAGTATGCGGAGTACGATGTTGCATTTCGTTTCCCATCGTAGAAAAACAATATTACGGCCATGTAATTAGCAGTGTCATGCTGGTACCAATGGTGAATCGCTTTCCGCCACATTGTTAGATATAGTATACAAGAATTTACTTGTAAACACCGAGCCCGGGACGCCAACAAATCTGAAGTTTAATCGTAGTGGTGCGAGTTCAATGATCTTCGACTCTGATGGAGTGTGGAGGTTAAGTTTTTAAGGTGGCGGTAAACGAGATTTACCATCGTTTATCAGCACGTTAAATGCTGCCAATGTCAAAAAGGCAAAATCGTGGGAGTCCAGGTTGAGTGATTAAGAGTTTTGATGACCTGCTGAAGTTACGGTTTTTAATGTGATTCAAAACGAGCGGAATCATCACCATCATTTTGTCGAACTCTATCATTTATTTGGGTTTTAGAAGAATTGTGGGGTCCAGGTACGATGACTTTAAATTTGGGGATGAATATGGCTGGAAACGAGATGCACTACCATAATCAGCACGTTTGGCATTACTAATGGCACGAGTTTTTGCGAAATCGCAGGGGTCCGGGTTTAATGACCTTGCATTTTGATGAAATTCGGATGTCATGGTTTCGACTGTCGTGGTAAATGAGGTGTGACATGATAATTAGTATGTTGAATACCACTAGTGGCCTGCATTTAGGCAACGCTGCAGTGATCGGTTTTGAAATGCAAATCTCAGTGTGAATATGAAGACAGAACCATCTTGCTGGAAAATGACGAAGCATGCTCCAAAATACGCCGGCATGCGGTTTTTCTGTATTTTGCTCACTTTCTTGTAAAAGTTTGGTTGGGGTGCTTGAGCCCAAATTGGAGGCAGGGCAATGTGAAGAAATATTCAGCTGCGATGGCTGAATGCCCCGCAGCTGAATATAAAGCTACACCCCTGACGTACTCTGTCATTCGTGCCAAAGGTGTGGTCATCCCAGGCGACTGTATCGTTTCCCAACGACATAACTGTCATGCTCTTGAAAGCTTTTCGTTATACGTTTGTGTTGTAATTCTGGAGTTGTATGTCAAATAGTGCATATGCTACTTCCCCGTCCTTTTTTAGTTCGTGGTCACACGGTTTCTTCCAGATGCTGAGCTTTACAGAGATTATCATCCGAAACTGGTGTCGGCCATCTCCCGACTAACTCGGTCTCTCTGCATGACTCTGCAAAGTGAGATGTTCGTGCCGCGGTTCTGTGAGCTTTCGTCAGTGTCGTGCGCTCCGTTCTGGAATGCTATGGTGCAACTCGTTAATTAACTGCATGGTTTCGAAATCGAACTATCCCTTTTCGCCGCACTTGAGTAAACTTCGACCACGTACTTCGATGTGCATGCAAGTTCCTGATATTGATTGCATTGGTTATTTGGTCACGCATGTTAATAATGCGCACCCCATCTCGCTGCATGTACGTGCGGTGCAGTGAAACGGTCCACCGTTTTGTTACTCTATTGAAAGCTACCGTCGCTTTTGCATCAAGTGAAACGGTGTGTAACTAACTATCTGGAAGCGATGTGACATGGCGAAATAGCAATGCAGAGAAGACCAGTTGAAAACTTAGCAGTGTTTGTCCTATGCCTGTGCACATCAAACCTGTCTCTAACGGTGCCTCTTGGCATTGCTACTCTCTGTTGTCCCCCAATTTTAAGTTGAAAAGCATGCCTTCCACTTTGCGTTTGATGTTGCCAGCTAAAGGCGTCTGTGTCTCGAACAAGTGTAAAAGTGCTTTCCAAATAATCACACTGTTATTAGCGCTGAGTGATCATGTCTCCAAGTCCGCAGCAAGCGGGCCTGAGGAGTCCGCGGCCAGCGCCCAGGCCCTCCTCGCTCGCGGCTCTGACTCACTCCTGCTGACGGCGCAGACCGGCCGCTGGATGAGTCGTGCAGCCCGACGACGACGGTGGCCGAGCTGAAGGCGGTGCTGCAGCAGGCGCAGCAGGCAGCCATGCGGCTGCCGCTCAGGCAGGAGGCCGACGGCACCCCGGTACGGTGACGTCACGGCCCGCCCCACCTTGCCTCGTCCCGCCTCGCCCCGCCTCGCTCCGCTCCGCCTTGCTCCGCCCCGCCTCGCTCTGCCCTGCCCTACTTCGTCCCGCCTCGCTCCGTCCCGCCTCGCGCCGCCCCGCCACACCGGCCGCCTCAGGCCTAACACGGACCTCTCTGAGTGAAAATGGGGTCCGGTAAAAATCCTGCTCTGCCGCCATAGACAGTTGTTCACGTTTTACGCCGTTCAGACTGTGTTGTTGCTTGTCCATCGGACGTTACAAATCGTCCAGTAATATCTTCGATCTTAGTTCACGAGTAGGCAGCGGCCAAGCTGATCAGTACGCTGAAATATGTGATGTAGGTCCGTGATCCACGGGCGTGTTCTCAGTAAAAGCGATCATGTTGCATCCTTTCGTATGCCAACGTACCGCACCGTACAGCGCCGAAATATGCCATTTTATGATATCCGTGTTTAGTACACCGCAGAGGCTCCGTCCAAATTGCTTGTTTGATTTATGTTTCAAGAATGGTGAACGGCATTGGGCGCTTACGAAGCATTTTGATGTAACAACTGTAGTTAACGATAATAGAATGGTAAATATGCAATGCGAACACTTTAAGAGATGACATTTTAAAGTTCGCGCCGTACTACTTGTTTTGTAAGTTTCGTCACTGTCATGGTTGTAACTACGACTAGCAATTCATTTATACACTTATAACTCAACGTCTGCGGTTTGAAATTAGCGTTTATTCGGGCTGCCTCCCACGGGCAGCACGTGCAGGCGTGGTGTTCCGTCCTCAGGTGGAGCCGCTGGAGGCGCCTGACGTTGTGCCCCATCCTCAGCTTGGGTCGCTGGAATCGCCTGACATTGCCCCCCATCCTCAGCTTGGGTCGCTGGGGTCTCCTGACGTTGCGCCCCGTCCTCAGCTGGGGTCGCCTGGCGTTGCACCCCATCCTCAGCTGAGGTCGCTGGGGTCTCCTGACGTTGCGCCCCGTCCTCAGCTGGGGTCGCCTGACGTTGCGCCCCGCCCTCAGCTGGGGTCGCTTGTGTCGCCTGACGTTGCGCCCCGTCCCCAGCTGGGGTCTCCTGACGTTGTACCCCATCCTCAGCTGGGGTCGCTGGGGTCTCCTGACGTTGCGCCCCGTCCTCAGCTGGGGTCGCCTGACGTTACGCCCCGCCCTCAGCTGGGATCGCTTGTGTCGCCTGACGTTGCGCCCCGTCCTCAGCTGGGGTCGCTGGAGTCGCGGGCCGAGTTGACCTCGCCGGACGGCTGCGGTGAGGAGCCGAACTCTCACACCTACGAGGAGATCCTGGCTACTGCCGTCCTCAGCCGGCTGGGAGAAAAGGCGCGCCGCCCGGCCGCCGCTGCCCCCGCCGCCCCTGCTGCGCCCCCTGCCGGTAAGGGACGACGCCGGGCACGATACGACACCGACGACCTCACCTGGCCACAGCGCATATCAGATACAGGAGCAAAATGCGGCAAGGGCAGGCAAACGTCCCTCCCCTCGTCCCATGACCTGCGTTTCTCTGACGCGAGGATAATGTAAAGCCACACGCGGCAGAACAGGTGTGTAGAAACTTGCAAGGCCCTTACGTATTTTACAGGTGCACACATTAGAGACTAATGCAGTACGGCGCCAAATGCAATGTTCATCGACTGCAGCACTTACTGGTCATGCAATGTTAAGTCACCTGTTGGACGAGCACATACCGATTACACTTGAAGCGCCATTCCTGGAAAACCTCGTGGGTATTCCAGAAAATTCCTATATTTGTGCGCAAATGTGACCTTGCTGTGTGGTGTATGCTGATAGTGTAGCTTTCTAACTGGGACTGCTGAGAGGTTTTATCGGACATCGCAGCCGTGTCTCGAGCTCCGGACTTAACGCCATGGGGGGGGGGGGGGGGGAGGGCTAAGGAGCGTTTTTGAAACTCGTATGGACTGGCAGCAGACCCAAGAAGTTGGTGCAGCAAATCCAAAACAATGGAAAATTGTCGCCCATCTTGAGATGTACTTGTTCTGTATTCTAAATGACATCATGCGCAATATTTCCGCTATATATAACATCTGGCTATTTCCTTTAAAAAGCAAACGCACCTCGCTCTTTGTAGCCTGACGTCCTGCGAAGGGTAGAGCACATGCCGCTTTATTGGAACTGGCTATTTCAAAAATCAGAAATAGTCATCAACCTGCTGGAATAAAACACAAATTCGTATTCTTCCACATTTCTCTCATTTTATGGCATAATGTGATATGTAATGCTACGTTTTCGTGGAAACATTTCAGAAAATCATTTGGAATAAGTACAAATTGCATTCACAGGGTGATGGGAATTTTTGGTGCAGCTTTAGAGGTGGTTTAAAACATTCCCCACCTGCCCTGTAAGAAATACCACGCATGCTTCGCTCAATGATGTAAACGTTTTGTTGTGAACTGAGCAGACGTAGGCTCCTGCTGCCAACGATCCGACATGAAACGATCCCGCACTTTGCTTTTGGTGGGGGATGGACAAGGCCCATGTCAGAAAAATCGGTCATCTTTAACTTCCTCCCGTCAGAAGCACAAATAAGCCGGAAATCGCGGTAGCTCTGCGTAAAATACGGGAAGTGTGGACGTGACTGATGCGTGTGCTTACTTAAACCGTTTGCCCACGTATTATCGCACGTCTTAACTACGGTTGGTACGCGAATAGCAACGGCGCGTATATAACATAGGGTCAGACACTAATCTCATTCCGACCTACAGGATAAATGCATTATGCTTCCTGCATGTACAAGGCGAGGCTTTGCCATCAGAATAGTACTTTTATCGTGTGTGGTATGACCTGCAACGCCTTTTGATCGGTTTCTCGGATTGGTGGCCCCTTCTGACTGCTGTCCAATCGGTAGGCTTCTGTGATGCGGCCGTCCAGTCGGAGGACGTCACCCCCCTGCAGGCATGTGACGTCACCTCGCTGGGGGCGGGCGCCGCACCCAGGAGTCGAAGCGAAGCGGAGGACTCGGAGTCCGAGGGAGCGGGGTACCACGAGGAGGAGGAGGAGGAGGAGGAGGGCTCCTCCGTACTGGAGATTACAGTGAGAGAGTGGTGTTTGGAGGTGATGATGTAGTAATGTGTTCCGTGCCCGTTGTCGGTAAGAAGGTTTAGCATGTGAGAGCGTCGGGAGAACGTGTGGTGTACTGGAGAGCGCACTCAGAATGTCGGCGGTGCTGAAGATCGTGGTTGAAGGTCCCTCGGTTTGAACACTTAATGCGATAGCCTAGTGTAGCTCGGTGCAGTTTATGGCATGGTATCATATACTTAAGCCCGCCCTGGTCTAGCTGATTAAGGCTACTCGAAACGTTTTGTAGCGAGCAAGCTTGTACTATTGTCAGGTCTTTCTGCACCATATTGGATTGACGGGCAGATGATTGACAGATAAAAATGCTCACAGATTGAGGAGGAGATAGAAGAGATCATGATGTACGAGAACGAGGAGGAGGGAGATCACAAGTACGGAAACGCACCAGGAAGCAGGAGGGAATCTGTGGCATCCCAGTCCTCGACTGCCAAGTCCAGCAGCAGCGCGGAAGGAAGCGGGGGTAAGCCACGACAGTAGACAGGCTCGGTCCCACTTGGCACACGGTACAAAATAGGTGCATTGCTTGTTACTCACATATTTGTGCGTGGAAATGTGGTAAGTCATGACAGTTTATGCAGCTCCAGCTCGTCTGCTGGTAGAGAACAACGTTAAGCCCACAGAGGAACAGAACCGTGACTTCTGACCAAGAGCTTCGCGCTCAATATCGACCGTAATGAGCTGCTATTATTAGCAAAGGCCCGAATTTACACATTTGCACAATCACGTCATTTAACTCTGAACGCCACGAGCTACTCACGCTGAGCTGAAAGCTATCTTTGCTGGCATAGGTTAGCTAGTTTCGGCCTCCCATGTCAGCAACTGAAGATGGCAGCAACTGACCGGCAGGCTAGGGTTCGCCCAGGTCGGTGCCAGGGGTGCAGCCAGGCTTTGCATAAGAAGTTGGGACCGGATCTCGGGGAGGAAACATCACGACGATTTTTAAATTCCCGTCGGGAGCTGTCTATGCTAAAAACAAACAAAATGCAGGTCGAAAGGGAGGGACGGACCCAGCGCCCCCTCCCTGGCTGCGCCCCCGGGCGGTACGGCTCTCCTCGTTCCACACTGCGCTGCACTAAGCTCCCCGCCCCCTCTACTGGCTGCACCCCTGGACAGCTCTGCTCTCCTCATTCCACACTGCACTGCGCCGAGCTCCCTGCCTCCCCCCTACCCTGGCTGCGCCACTGGACGGCACGGCTCTCCTTATTCCACGCTGCACCGCGCCGAGCTCCTGCCCCCCCCCCCCCCCCCCCCACACACACTGGCTGCGCCCTTGGACGGCACGGCTCTCCTCGTTTCACGCTGCGCTGCGCTGCGCCGACCCCCCCCCCCCCCCCCCTATTGTTTTCGCTTGCAGGGCAAAGCCTCCGGTGTCCGCACCACCCACCTCACTAGTTGGTTTGAAAGCGGACGGCGGTCCACATGGGCCACCTGACTCAGCGGAACGCATGACGCAGCCTTTCGGCACACGGATCTCTGTCAAAATACTGCTGACTGTGACATATTTGCATGTCATTGTCATGCTGCGTAAGTTCGTGACCGGCATCGTTAACGCAGTGATGGTTTTTGGTGATGTCTCACGATATAATTAGATAAATGTGGCATATCATCAGTTTTTAGACTTGCTGCAATTTGTTTACTACCTATGCGAGGTGCCTAAGTCCTCGTTTTTAGTTGTGACAGAGTCAGTGTGTCGCGTTTGTTCATACCGAGGGTCCATCCATTATCAAGCCCAACGCAACCCCTACAGTCACGTCCGCTTATGTAACACTTGACTGTGACGCCCATGAACCAGCCGCGCTTATCACGTGCGCTGAAAGACCTGTGAAAATTACATATCCTGAAAGGGAGCAAAATTTGCTGGTTACGATCTTCGAAACTATAAAAATTTGAAACAAAAGTTGCGACTTTCAAGATTTGCGAGGAACGCGGCAGAAGAAAAGCTGGAGAAACAAAGGAACAAAGCAACAACAGTTGTGTTTCCCGCAATGCATTGTGGTTTGGCAACTAGAGATGCAAGCCTTCGTCCCCGCACCCAGTGGCTACACACGCAATATGCAAGACACTCGCAGCCAAAGCAGGTGTGGGTCATTAGAACATATGGAGGAGTGCGCTCGTTCAGGGGGCTGTCGTGGAAACGATCTGCTAGGCAGGTGAACACTAACTGCGAAAACGACAATGTCCAGATATTCAAAGATCTGTAATATACAAAATATGTGAGCAAGGGATTTTTTTCATGTCACGGCATTCCTAAAAGTGACATTTCAAAATTTCAAGTTAAATATCCTGCATTTGCTTAGGGTGCGTCGTCAACCTCTATGCAGGGGGTCACTGGAGTTCATATTAGTCAGTGACCTTGTTTGATCTTAGGAAGGTCCTTAAAAACCTATGAGATTATGTTGATTTTTTAACTTAAGTAAGCGCCAGGGGTTATGCTGGGCATTATGTTTCAAAAACAAAGAATTGATCCGGCTCATTTTAATTCGGTGGCCTAATTTGACCTTAACACGCGCCCGGGTGGCCGGCTGAATACCCTTCGCTCGGGCGGGGGTTAATTTGACCCCCGAGATCTCAAGAACTACGAGGGCTAGAGACACCAAATTCACAGGGTATCTTGACCTGTACGTGAACTCACTTAGGTCAAAGTTTAGGGCTTCTAGGTCATGATATTCGGGTCAAATAAGGTCAAACAAGGTCAAATGCCAGGTTGGTCCCCAAAGTGCCCCCAGATCCTAGATAACTGTTTCTAGGCAAAAGTTCACATGCTCATTTAAGGTCAGTGGCCTTGTTTGACCTCTTGAAGGTCATGGTGACCAAAATCATACAAGACTGCTTGGAGTTTTGTATTTGAATATGCGACAAAGTTAACGCTAGACAGTATGCTCCTAAAAACCAAATGTTGAAAATTGGAAATGAGCACCAGAAACTATCCCATACAGCAAGCCCTAGAGTAATAAAACAAGTTGGTTTTGACCTTGGCCTGACCTTCAAACCTTACCTAGGTCAATGCAATGTGCTCATTCAATTGTTGTGTTGTCTAAGAAAGCATTTCAGAGATGTATGGCTTCGACTAACACTCCGTTGTTGCATCAGATTGAACAATTTTCTAGAAATTGCCTTCGCTGAAACCATGGTCTGACTTTGACCTGCCATAGGTCAGCGACCTTACAAGGTGCATCTGAGTGTTTTCCATCAAACGATCCGCTATTCAATTGCCTACAGCTATGCAGAATTTGGCGCGGCTACGCCGCGTCGTTCGGAAACCATTCTGGAAAAGCTTTCGGGGGGGGGGGGGGGGGTCAATTTGACCCCACCCACCACCCGAGCGCGTGTTAAATAACTCCATGGAAGATGTCTGTTGAGGTCTCAGTTATCAATAATTTTGACTTAAGCAAATGAGCAATACCGCTCGTGTCCATGCTCGCGCTGTGCCCCGAAGCCCTTAATGACGTCCCCCGTACCTGGTGTACGTGTGACGCGACTGACCTGGGTCACCCTCAGGCGAGGACGTGTCGCTGCCGGGCCTCTCCATCTCGTACTCGGACCTTGACTTTGCCGGCGGCCAGTCGGTGCCGTTCCCGGAGCTGGGCACCAGCCTGCCCCAAGGTCAGTGGCCGCTCAGCCGACGCTATGCTCTGTTGACCTGCCATGTCACGGCCACTGAAAAAAACACCTTCACTGAAAAAAACTGCGCAATATCGCGTTCTGAAACTGCGTTCAAAACTGCGTTCCTCTCGCTGTGTTTTAAGTGACGTTTTTTAACACCATATGTATTTTTCTCGGATAAAGTTTATGTTACGATTTTGCGTATGTACCTTCTTTTTTCTTGTACACCTGACTTCTCCCGTCTTAACTAGATCGTGGAGCTGGCGATTTCATTACCTTCTGAATTCAACAACACTGTATGGCTTTGATCAAGTGTAACGTGGATATAGCCACAACCTTCACCACTTTCTATGTATATCGTCCGGAATGCGAATACCACTAGGTTGCAGTAATGTATATTCCATCACGCAACTTTTTCTCAACCGTGCCTCCGGAGTCTCACCGACCTGCCCGTCTGCCAGTCTCGCCGCCAGAGGACTCTGCCTCGGACGCGGACCGCACCTCCTGGGAGGAGAACTGGCTGTTCCGGCGGCGGCGGCTGACCCAAGCCAACCGGCTGCTGGGCGAGGAGGCGGTGCCCATGCTGGTGCCCGACCCCAGCCAGCGGGTAGCTGTCACCGTCGGCTCCCGGTACGTACTCCGCTGGGCGAGGAGGCGGTGCCTATGCTGGTGCCCGACCCCAGTCAGCGGGTAGCCGTCACCGTCGGCTTCCGGTATGTGCCCTGCTGGGCGAGGAGGCGGTGCCCATGCTGGTGCCCGACCCAAGCCAGAGGGTGGCCGTCACCGTCGGCTCCCGGTACGTACTCCGCTGGGCGAGGAGGCGGTGCCCATGCTGGTGCCCGACCCCAGTCAGCGGGTAGCCGTCACCGTCGGCTCCCGGTACGTACTCCGCTGGGCGAGGAGGCGGTGCCCATGCTGGTGCCCGACCCCAGTCAGCGGGTAGCCGTCACCGTCGGCTCCCGGTACGTACTCCGCTGGCTCGGTACAAGCTTCGCCCACGAACTGTGCTATTCTTCAGAGTTGTAGGTTAGGTTTTAAGGCGTTCAACTGCTAAGCAATGTCGTAAACCCTTGGTGTGCACTGGGTTGTCGCGATGAGGTGGTGTGCCACACGTAAGTGTCTCAGGTAGCCGGCCAAAAACAGAGATGTCCGCCTACGTAAATATTTTATCAAATGGACTCGTTTAAGAAATGTGCTACGGGCTCTACAAGCGGCTTCCGTTTTGGGAGCCCTCTAACGAATTATTTCGATGAGGCTTTGTTTGGGCTTTGTTAGCGTCCGACCACGCTGCGTGTGTCCGATTTGCCGATGTTCTTGACAGATAACTTGTTGTCACATTGTCATGAGCACGTTGTTTTTCATGCGTCCTTGTCAAATATGTCTTGATTTATTTTCTGAGTAATTGCCTTAGTTCGGGTTGTTTTTCAGCCGTACAAGCTTGCGTTGCGTTCAGAGTGTCTGGGCTGTGATGCTAGATATGTGTTGAAGATAGTCTGTTCCTTTAGTTAACCTCTGTGTGGACACGGATGCGCTGCCTGATCCGTTGAAATGGAATTACGAGGCCACAAAACACTGCCGGAAATCACAGTGTCGTTTGGAGGCCCTGCTAGTGCCCGCTGAGGTGTTGTCCGATTGTCAGATCCGACTGAGCGCAGCACACCGTCGGCCTGCCATCACGGGGACGCAAGCGATCCGTCTGACCTGACTGAGCCCAGCACATCATCCAAGCCTCGTGCGCTGTTGCAGGGACGTGGACGAGCTGTCTGACCTCTCAGAGCGCGGGTCGGAGTCGAGCCTGGAGGAGTGGCGCTCCGTCTCGCCGGCTGGGGATGTCACGGCTCGGCTGCGGGCGGCACGTGACGCAGACCGGGACCGCTACCTGACGGGCCGGCTCGTCACCGCCCACAGGTCAGTCAGGGCCGCAGCTGAGGGCGCCGGCCGCCACCGGCACCGCCCCGAGAGATCAGCAGACTGACCTCAGGTCGCTAGTGTCGCGCACTGTGCAGGGGTGTCTCGCTCTGATACTCAGCTATGTGATGCTCGCGTCAGCGGACTGCGCGTTTTACGTGTTGTACTTCTGCTGATCACTGGCTGCACAATGTTTGTGTGACATTTTGTGGGAGGTGTATACCGGTATGTGTCAAACAGAGAGAGGACAGCCTGGAAAACGCACAGTTCCCTCCGGTGATGAACACTGCGTGCGAATTTTCGGAATAGGCATAACTTCACAATCCATTGCAGCAAGCCTGCAACTGCGGCCGATCCGGGGAAGACCAGAGCGCCCGGGGACGGTGAGCGGCATTCCACCGAGTCTGCCCGGCCGGCGGCCGCTCCTGCCAGCAGGGCGGCGGCGGCCGCCGGCCCGGCGGAGGCGCCCTCGCGGAGCGCCAGCTCGCCGCACGACTCGGAGCTCGACATCGAGCGAGCCTTCTGCGAGGTGTCGGAGCGCCTGGCCGCCGACGAGTCGCCGTTCGAGGCGGACCGCTCCTCCTCTGACTGTCTGCTGCGCGCAGAGCGGCGGTTCTCGGAGGCGGCCGTCGAGGCCGTCAGTCCCGCCGAGCGCACGCCGTCGGCCGCGTCCCTGGCGTCGCCCGCCTCGGAGGTGGAGCGGGCGCGCTGCGAACGCCGTTTCCAGACCCTGGCGACGCCCGCTGGCGCCGTCACCGGTGCTGGGGCGGCCCGCTCGGACCCGGCGCCGCCGCCGGAGACGACAGGGCGAGTGAAAGAGCGGCGCACCGCGCGTCCCCCTGCCGAGCAGGCCAGGGAGCTGCCGCCTGGCGCATGCGCAGAGCTCGTCTCCCAGACCGGCTGCATTGCGCACTTCCGCTGCAAGGTCCCGGTCGACGAGAATTCGGGTCAGTGCTGGCGGCATCTGAAGAGGAAGGTTTGATGATGCTCGCCATTGGTGCCTTGAGTCACCAGATATGTGTGTCGATTAAGTAGTACTTTGTTTCCTGGATAAAGTGTCCGATCTTCAGTTCAGTTTCAGCGTGGGAAAAATGTCCGGTCCGCACAGTTTTGCAATCATGAGTGTGTTAAAAATATATACTTTTAAAAGGCGGTGAAAGGACAGAGACTAATATTGCTTAACCTGACTTGTCATTAGTTATCCACCGACCTGTGACCCGGCGTCGCGGCACCCCAAATCTGCACCGCGTCGTCCGACCACACCTGGCTTACCCGTTGCTCAATGACACCGCTTAGGTAGAATCAAAGAACAGCCAAGGTAACAAATAGCACTGCTATTCTTGATCGTGCCTTGGACTCGAGCGTCCCGGGCGTGACCAGCGCCACCTTTAGGGAGAGTTGAGGATTTGCCTGCGTCTTACGGCACGGCGCCTCCCCCAGAGACGCACTGGCTGCGAGACGGGGTGGTGCTGGAGCCGTCCGACCGGTACGAGATGTACCGCGTGCGGCACCATCACCACCTGGTGCTGTACGACGCGTGTCGCCGGGACAGCGGCCGGTACTCCTGCCTGGTGACAGCCGCCGGCGCCGAGACCTGGCACCACTTCACGCTCAAGGTGGGTGACCTGGCACCACTTCACGCTCAGGGTGGGTGAAGGGACACCACTTAACGCTCAGGGTGGGTGACGGGGCACCACTTAACGCTCAGGGTGGGTGACGGGGCACCACTTTACGCTCAGGGTGGGTGAAGGGACACCACTTAACGCTCAGGGTGGGTGACGGGGCACCACTTTACGCTCAGGGTGGGTGAAGGGACACCACTTAACGCTCAGGGTGGGTGACGGGGCACCACTTAACGCTCAGGGTGTGTGGCGGGGCACCACTTAACGCTCAGGGTGGGTGACGGGGCACCACTTAACGCTCAGGGTGGGTGACGGGGCACCACTTAACGCTCAGGGTGGGTGACGGGGCACCACTTCACGCTCAGGGTGGGTGACGGGGCACCACTTCACGCTCAGGGTGGGTGACGGGGGCACCACTTAACGCTCAGGGTGGGTGACGGGGCACCACTTTACGCTCAGGGTGGCTGACAGACCCGAGCTCTTGCTCAGAAACATGTGCTCCATGCAAAGCATCACTTAGGCCCGTGACATGTAACTTGCTTACCGTCCATGACGCAGGCTGCAATAACAGTCTTGATATTCTATTACTAGTCGAATGGATTGTCACCCGCCGTCCCTTGATTTAAAACTAGTCAAACTAACGATAGGCGGCACAAACCTGGTTAGTTGTTTTCGCATTCCAAGTTGTTCTTCCACCACGTATGCCGGCAGTCCATCGTTGAGCCAAATGCATAATGACCTTGATGCCACCAGTGGTGAGGTAACACATCAGGTCCCGATTTTCTCCGTGCGATCGGTCGGCTCAGGTCTGGAGACCCAACTGAAGCCTGTCCTGACGGCCGCAGGTGCTAGCATCCAGCCGAACCGCCCAGAAGCCGTACTTCACGCTGGTGCCGGAGCGGCGGCACCAGGTGGTGTCAGGTGGTGCGCTGCGGCTGGTGCTGCGCGTGGCTGGCCACCCGGAGCCGCGCGTCTTCTTCCTGCGCGGAGAGCGGGCCGCTGCGTCCTTCAGACTCCGCCCAGATCGGTACGACAGCACCGGCCAGCCAATGAGAGTTCCGTCAAGGCGCGTGTGGACCGTGCGATGGAACCGGGCTGGTGGGACGACCAGCTGTCAGTCAGACGTGCAGTCACATGCTTACCATCCGTAAAAGTGCGGTGAACAGCATTATTTTGGGCCGGCTTACTCTTCACTCCGTGTTGCCTCTTGTGTTGTGCAGATATCTCCTCCTCTATGCTGATCATCCCGCGGTTTCGCTGATCGTCCCCTCTGACGTGACAATATCCTGCTGAACTGATCATCTCTCTGCCGTGCTCACCACTACTTTTTTCCTGTGGTCCACTGACCACCTGTACTCTCTTCTGCGGTCCACTGCGGTACAATAACCACCTGTACTCTCCCTTGCGGTCCACTGCGGTCCACTGACCACCTGTACCCTCCTCTGCGGTCCACTGCGGTCCACTGACCACCTGTACTGTCTTCTGCGGTCCACTGCGGTCCACTGACCACCTGTACTCTCTTCTGCGGTCCACTGCGGTCCACTGACCACCTGTACTCTCTTCTGCGGTCCACTGCGGTACAATAACCACCTGTACTCTCTTCTGAGGTCCACTGCGGTACAATAACCACCTGTACTCTCTTCTGAGGTCCTGTGCGGTACACTGACCACCTGCATCTTCTTCTGGGGTCCTCTGCGGTACACCGACCACCTGTACTCTCCCTTGCGGTCCTCTGCGGTACACTGACCACCTATACTCTCTTCTGCGGCCCTGTGCGGTACACTGACCACCTGTACTCTTCTGCGGCCCTCTGCGGTACACTGACCACCTGTACTCTTCTGCGACCCTGTGCGGTACACTGACCACCTGTACTCTCTTCTGCGGCCCTCTGCGGTACACTGACCACCTGTACTCTTCTGCGGCCCTCTGCGGTACACTGACCACCTGTACTCTTCTGCGGCCCTCTGCGGTACACTGACCACCTATACTCTCTTCTGCGATCCTCTGCGGTACACTGACCACCTGTACTCTTCTGCGGTCCTGTGCGGTACACTGACCACCTGTACTCTCTTCTGCGGCCCTCTGCGGTACACTGACCACCTGTACTCTTCTGCAGTCCTGTGCGGTACACTGACCCACCTGTACTCTTCTGCGGCCCTGTGCGGTACACTGACCACCTGTACTCTTCTGCGGCCCTGTGCGGTACACTGACCACCTGTACTCTTCTGCGGCCCTCTGCGGTACACTGACCACCTGTACTCTTCTGCGGCCCTCTGCGGTACACTGACCACCTGTACTCTTCTGCGGTCCTCTGCGGTACACTGACCACCTGTACTCTTCTGCGGTCCTCTGCGGTCCTCTGCGGTACACTGACCACCTGTACTCTCCTTTGCGGTCCTCTGCGGTACACTGACCACCTGTACTCTCTTCTGCGATCCTCTGCAGTACACTGACCACCTGTACCCTCCTCTGCGGTCCTCTGCGGTACACTGACCACCTGTACTCTCCTTTGCGGTCCTCTGCGGTACACTGACCACCTGTACGCTCCTCTGCGGTCCTCTGCGGTACACTGACCACCTGTACCCTCCTCTGCGGTCCACTGCGGTCCACTGACCACCTATACTCTCTTCTGCGGTCCACTGCGGTCCACTGACCACCTGTACTCTCTTCTGCGGTCCACTGCGGTACAATAACCACCTGTACTCTCTTCTAAGGTCCACTGCGGTACAATAACCACCTGTACTCTCTTCTGAGGTCCTGTGCGGTACACTGACCACCTGCATCTTCTTCTGGGGTCCTCTGCGGTACACCGACCACCTGTACTCTCCCTTGCGGTCCTCTGCGGTACACTGACCACCTATACTCTCTTCTGCGGCCCTGTGCGGTACACTGACCACCTGTACTCTTCTGCGGCCCTCTGCGGTACACTGACCACCTGTACTCTTCTGCGACCATGTGCGGTACACTGACCACCTGTACTCTCTTCTGCGGCCCTCTGCGGTACACTGACCACCTGTACTCTTCTGCGGCCCTCTGCGGTACACTGACCACCTGTACTCTTCTGCGGTCCTGTGCGGTACACTGACCACCTGTACTCTTCTGCGGTCCTGTGCGGTACACTGACCACCTGTACTCTTCTGCGGCCCTGTGCGGTACACTGACCACCTGTACTCTTCTGCAGTCCTGTGCGGTACACTGACCACCTGTACTCTTCTGCGGCCCTGTGCGGTACACTGACCACCTGTACTCTTCTGCGGCCCTGTGCGGTACACTGACCACCTGTACTCTTCTGCGGCCCTGTGCGGACACTGACCACCTGTACTCTCTTCTGCGGCCCTCTGCGGTACACTGACCACCTGTACTCTCTTCTGCGGCCCTCTGCGGTACACTGACCACCTGTACTCTCCCTTGCGGTCCTCTGCGGTACACTGACCACCTATACTCTCTTCTGCGGCCCTGTGCGGTACACTGACCACCTGTACTCTTCTGCGGCCCTCTGCGGTACACTGACCACCTATACTCTCTTCTGCGATCCTCTGCGGTACACTGACCACCTGTACTCTTCTGCGGTCCTGTGCGGTACACTGACCACCTGTACTCTCTTCTGCGGCCCTCTGCGGTACACTGACCACCTGTACTCTTCTGCGGCCCTGTGCGGTACACTGACCACCTGTACTCTTCTGCGGCCCTGTGCGGTACACTGACCACCTGTACTCTTCTGCGGCCCTGTGCGGACACTGACCACCTGTACTCTCTTCTGCGGCCCTCTGCGGTACACTGACCACCTGTACTCTCTTCTGCGGCCCTCTGCGGTACACTGACCACCTGTACTCTCCTTTGCGGTCCTCTGCGGTACACTGACCACCTGTACTCTCTTCTGCGATCCTCTGCAGTACACTGACCACCTGTACCCTCCTCTGCGGTCCTCTGCGGTACACTGACCACCTGTACTCTCTTCTGCGATCCTCTGCAGTACACTGACCACCTGTACCCTCCTCTGCGGTCCTCTGCGGTACACTGACCACCTGTACTCTCTTCTGCGATCCTCTGCAGTACACTGACCACCTGTACCCTCCTCTGCGGCCCTCTGCGGTACACTGACCACCTGTACTCTTCTGCGGTCCTCTGCGGTGCACTGACCACCTGTACCCTCCTCTGCGGTCCTCTGCGGTACACTGACCACCTGTACCCTCCTCTGCGGTCCTCTGCGGTACACTGACCACCTGTACCCCTCCTCTGCGGTCCTCTGCGGTACACTGACCACCTGTACTCTCTTCTGCGGTCCACTGCGGTCCACTGACCACCTGTACTCTCTTCTGCGGGTCCACTGCGGTACACTGACCACCTGTGCCCTCCTCTGCGGGTCCACTGCGGTCCACTGACCACCTGTACTCTTCTGCGGTCCTCTGCGGTACACTGACCACCTGTACCCTCCTCTGCGGTCCTCTGCGGTACACTGACCACCTGTACCCTCCTCTGCGGTCCTCTGCGGTACACTGACCACCTGTACCCTCCTCTGCGGTCCTCTGCGGTACACTGACCACCTGTACTCTCTTCTGCGGTCCACTGCGGTCCACTGACCACCTGTACTCTCTTCTGCGGTCCACTGCGGTACACTGACCACCTGTACGCTCCTCTGCGGTCCTCTGCGGTCCACTGACCACCTGTACTCTTCTGCGGTCCTCTGCGGTACACTGACCACCTGTACCCTCCTCTGCGGTCCTCTGCGGTACACTGACCACCTGTACTCTCTTCTGCGGCCCTCTGCGGTACACTGACCACCTGTGCTCTCCTCTGCGATCCTATGCGGTACACTGACCAGCTGCCGTGCCCCGTCGTCAGAGCGCCACAGCGGCGGGGAGTGGGTGCTGGTGCTGCGCCAGCTGACGGAGGTCGACGCCGGCGCGTACCAGGTGCAGGCGGCCAACAGTCACGGCTCGGCCCGCCACCAGTTCGAGGTGGCGGTTCTGCCGCGGCCCGAGCCGCCGCCGCTGCCGGAGACCCCGGTCGTGCAGCGGGAGGTACGTCCGTCGCTGATGGACGCCCAGACAGGACGGGCGTGGGCGGAGAGCGTGGCAGGGCGCGCCTCGTTCACTGGGCGGGCTGTGCTGGTACTTTCGTTTTGGGCTAGCGATGTCAGTTGTGTCAACGCGTGTAAGATGTTGGTGTCTTGATTCCAATCATGGGGCTAGCTGGTCTGTGTGCTCATTGGCAACGGTTGTGATAGCGCATTGGGAAATAAGTGACATCATGGGCTCGTTTGAATTATTCTTGAGTGAGAAGCACATATCCACCGACGGAATCATCTGCAAACCGTTGCCACGATCGGAGTCGTTGGAGGGGCTCAGTTGTCATGCTCCGGCGTGGTCTGGACGTGTGCGCAGGGGTCTCAATGCCCCCAATGCGCCGACCCCACCCGTCCTCAGAGCGATGATGATTCCGATCACCATCAGAGCGCTGAGGATTCTGCCCGTCCTCAGGGCGCTGGTAATTACGCTCGTCCTCAGAGCGCTGATGATCCCCGAGTCCCCGGAGCGCTGATGATTCCGCTTGTCTTTAGGGCGCTGATGATTCTGCCCATCCTCAGAGCGCTGACGATTCCGCCCGTCCTCAGAGCCCTGACTATTCCGCCGCCCTCAGAGCGCCGACGATTCCGCCGGTCTTCAGAGCGCTGACGATTCTGCCCGTCGTCAGAGCGCTGACGATTCCGCCGGTCCTCAGAGCGCTGACGATTCCGCCGGTCCTCAGAGCGCTGACAATTCCGCCCGGTCCTTAGAGCTCTGCGCCGGTGCGGCCGCGCGTGCGGCTGACTCCGGCCACCTCGCCGCCGGCCTCGTACGTCACCTCCCGGGACGAGGCGCTCAAGGAGACCAGCCTGACCGAGGCCTGCAACTCGGTCATCCTGCGAGCGCGGCCGGCGCGCGTACGGTCTCCGGTGGAGGGCGGCAGAGACTCGGAGTCCGACGGGGAGGAGATCTGCCGACCCCAGCTCCGCTCAGGTGGGAGGGTCCTGCCGGCGTGATCGCTTGAATGCAACGCAACTTGCGGCGCGTGATGACAAACGTGATAACTTGCGGCGCTTGATAGCTTGCGGCGCTTGATGCAACATGACTTGTGACTTGTATCTTTCACGATATTTACAAAAGTCATTTTATGCCTGATGCAACGGTTTATATTACTCTTTATTTCTTCCACGCGTCGTTGCTTTGGTGAACACTTCCGTGGTATGCGCACAAGGGCCAGTGTGCCGTAAGCGGCACACGTGCCTGCCGTGCGCGTGTTCCCGTGTGGCTCACTCCCTGGTTCGCTCTGTCAGCCGCTGCCCTGCGGACTTGTCTGACGGCTGCCGCTCCCCGTCCAAGGCACGATTGCCGAGCGCGAGTACCGCAAGTGGGAGAACGCCGTCGCCATGCCGAACAACCCTTACACGCTGGAGCGGGTGCGCCAGCGCCACAGCCGCCCGGTGGACCGCACCGGCTACTACTCCAGCTGGTCAGGTGGGTAACACGGCACTCCCCCGGGGTGGACCACTCCCAGCTGGTCAGGTGGGTACCATCACTCCCCGGGGTGGACCACTCCCAGCTGGTCAGATGGGGTACACAGCACTCCCGGGGGTGGACCACACCCAGCTGGTCAGATGGGTACACAGCACTCCCCGGGGGGTGGACCGCTCCCAGCTGGTCAGGTGGGTTACACAGCACTCCACGGGGGTGGACCACTTCCAGCTGGTCAGATGGGTACACCAGCATCCCCGGGGGTGGACCACTCCAGCTGGTCAGGTGGGTACACAGGGCACTCCCCGGGGTGACCACTCCCAGCTGGTCAGATGGGTACACAGCACTCCCCGGGGTGGGCCACTTCCAGCTGGTCAGGTGGGTACACAACACTCCCCAGGCTAAACGACCGTACGTGCGGTTACCAACAACTGGCTTTCGCCGCTATCGCCGCTACCACCGCTCGGGTGGCCTTATTACATAACCTAGTGGATCGTCAGTTGTACGCGTGAGTCGCGGAGGCTTCTGCTGGAATCCTTGTTCGTCGAAGAACGGTGAAGCGGCTTTAGTTCAACCGGTCGGAGTTATCGAGTTAAAGTCACGACACGAACTGCAACGCGTGTCGTCATAAAGGTGTATACCACTTACAGCCGTCCCCATTTCCGTTTCAGTTCTGGTGACGACGGCTCGGACCACGACCTGGTCGCACCGAACACGGGCAGAAAAATTGACTGTGGTCTGAAGTCCATCGACTCGGAAATGTAAGCGTCGTTAAAGCCTCCCCTCAGCACGTTGGTTGGAACTGTTGACCGCTTGCCATACTGTTTCGTGACCCCAATGGCTCCAATTTGTGTGTACATCAAGTCGTTTCTGTGGAAAAGAGCTGAACATAATGCTCAGTGGCAGGTCTTGCTAGCGTGTAGATGGCTCTGAAAATGTCACTCACTATCATATTAGCCCTGTTCATTGCATAGGCGCTACGAAACATCCTACCACTTCTACCGGGGAAGGCATTATTTTGTCTATATCCCAGGTGGCATGTAACACTTCCGACATCTGACATCTAACATCTAACACCTGACATCCGACATCTGACATCTAACACTTCCGACATCTAACACTTCCGACATCTAACACTTCCGACATCTGAGGCACGTGGCAACACGTTACAGGGCCGTCACATTTAGGAGAGTCGCCTTATCGCGTGTTAGAAGTCCATTATGTCAAGCTGTGAAATTTGTTATTTGCATGCTTGGCTCGCGAAATACGCGCGCCGCCTCGCTACATGGTCTTTATCTTTTGCAGACAGTGTGTTTGCAATGTGCATTGTTTTGCTTTGTGCACGACTTCTGATTGTCACACAGCACTTCCACTGCAAGGACAGGCATGCGGTAACGAACGAAACCTGGATGTCGCCACGTTGCCCAGTATTCCCTTAGTGTGCCAGCTAGCACGTGTTGAGCGTGTGCGCGCGCTGCGTGGGCGTCACGATGAACCGGTTGTGGCTTCTGGACAGGTACCGACGCGACTACTACATCAACGCCGG